CTTGGAAGCTAATTTTAATTTAGCTCAGGGTAAAATTAAGCAAGTAGAAATAAGACACCTGCTGCAGCCACTCACCCATTCAATTTTGAGCAAAATTTGGGAGACTGCCTGTGAGGCCACTGTAAAGGATTCTCTTACATTTGTTCTTCTTTACTGTGTTCATCACCAGTATGAGCTTTTGTTTAGTTTCCCAGAGGTCTGGTTTTCCAAGAGTGAAACAGGAAAGATAATATTCAGTGGAGTCAGAAATATAAACAAGGCGAGGATCTGTTTCTTCAAGTATTGAAACTACAGAAGTGTTAATTTAAGAGTGGAAAGATTAAAAGTCTTTCCTATATTTAAGAAGTTAATGGACCCTAATTTGAAGTCTTATTAGGAAGAATTGGGGAGACAGTTAAAAATATTGTGTTAATAAATGATGTGTTAATAAGAATCTTGTTTTTACATCTTGTCTCTGGCATGACGATGCTTGGCAGCTGAGTGTTCCCATTGAGGGGAAAAGACACTAAATTAAGAGATAAAACAGAATAATAACTTGGCCCTTCTCCTGATCAACCTGACAGCCCCTCCATTTATCTGAGTGATTCTTTAATTAGTTAATTGGTCTCTACTAGGGGTTTGGATACAGCTCCTTGGAGTAGGGCAGGAACAGAGAAGAACCACTGGGTTCTTTTGGAGAAGGCAGTTTCTTTCAAGGCACCATGTTTAGAAGACCATATTCTTTTAAAGGGCAAAGTTACCTCTTAGACCCTCCCCCCAAAAAATGCAGGGACTGTGAAGCGTCACAGAAAAAGAGGGGTTGTTTTGTGCTTGAACAATATTATTACTTCAATATTTCATCCTTCCTATGTTCAGAAACATGGTTTGGATTTTTTCCTGGGGACGCATAAGGTATCCCTCAACTGCAGAGCAAGAAATTACAAATAGACATCCTTCAACATCCCCTGGGAATAGCATTCATAGCAGTGTGGAAAGATGAATGGTACAGCAAAAGCATATCCTTTTTATAATGTTTGGGAAACAACAGCACTATTGGCTTCAGCTTGATCAAGTGACCAGAAATCTCTCGGGTGACTATAGAAAGATGAAGACACTGATGCAAAACTAGCACTGAGGAACCAAACCAAATCTATAAAATGGACCCAAATCTACCACCCAAAACTATAAAGCTGTACTTACTTTGCAATGTCTTGGTTTTTTATTACATGGAGACCTACTTGCTCAAAGGAACGTGCACCTCCCACGAGGGAGACAGTAATAAATGTCTGGGTATTTCTTTTTTCATAACAATATCTGTGTATGCAGAAATTAAGTGTCTAGAACTGCTTCAGTGTCACTAAATATCCTTAATTTTTTTCCCTTCCTTTTAGTTCTCTAATCCTTCCAGGTTATTCCTGAATGGACATTACTTTACTTACACAGCAAGCACACTTTGCATAACTGGAATGGCCAGGGGGCTTTAAAATAACAAATTATTTAACAATTGTCATAATTTTAATCAAATATATAGAGGAGAGCAACAACTGGAGAAATTAAAACAGAAAAAATATGTTTACCCTTCCTGAAGAAGTGGGACATATGACTGGATCTAACATTAAGAACCAACACATTCCTACCTGCAGTGTAAGTGTACTGTACTAGGTCATACATAAAAGATCACTTTAAAGTGGTGTTTTTAAGAGGTACCACTAGAACATTAGATTCATGAGAACAAGGTTGTACCGATTCTCTAATATCAGCCACTAGCACAATTTGTTGCCCCATGGTTTTGGGGAATAAAAGAAAGCACAATATTAAATCAGGGAATAACAAAATGACCATCACAAATCAGTTGAATGGTTGCAACTCTAAAATAATAACATTTTGGTATAGGATAAAAAAGGAAATATGAAACTAATTAATTACCTTCCAGAAACAGTAATGTAAAATGTAGTTTATGTGTTGTATTTTATAACATTAGTTTAAAATGGATTTTTGTAAGCATATGAGTTGCTACATATAATACTTACACAGTGTGGGTATTTTAAAACTATTGTCTTCAATTATGCATGTCCTAAAGCTCTTGTTGAACACCTTTGTGTTAAGTAGTTATTCATGCAAAATGCTGTTCACCCAACCTTATTACAGAATTAATTTCTGCCTAAAATGCTGAGTACACGAAGGATACTTCACAGAATTCTACTCTAATTCCTGTTCCCTCTGAGGGTGGGTGACACGTATTCCTTCCTTTTGGAGGTTACACTGGCTTGATGTTCAAACTGAAAATCAGGAAGAACATTTCTGCATACATTATTTCATCCATTAGGAAGTTTGTGTGCTCCTTAGGATTAAAGCAGCAGTGATACCAAAACACTCGGTTTTGTTGTAGGTGTAGCAGTTCCCATGAAAACATGAGAGCACAGGTTTCAGGATGGAACTGCATTTGGGTGTAAACCCAGGATTTATGGACGGACTGTCCTGCTCAGCTCCTGGTGCTTGATTATACCATGAACCTGTCAGCCTTAATTTTCCAGCATTTATTTTCCCATGTTGAAAGGACACAAAAGGAGAAAATTCTTCCTATACTGGTGCAGCCAGTCTCTTACTCTTCATTGTATCATGGATTCTGGTGCAATGCCTGTTAAAATTACAGTGTAATAACTGTTGATGCGAGTTGGCTCTTTAGCAGCAAAACCATAATTTTTACAGATGTTCTGTTGGATGTGAACTTTGCAAACAGTTCTACATTTCAATGCTTCACACAGATTCTAAATATTCCTGCTGACAAGCATTGCCATCTTCCAAACAATTCAGCTGATTCTGTACAACAGCAAGAACTATCACACTTCTCTCTGTTCCTTCTTAAAATGCAACATCCATTACGTACACTAATTAAAAAGCTCTATAAACCCAGTTCCTGATGTATCTTGCAGTTCTTAGAATTCTGGGCTTTAGGAAGTATGGCTGTCTCTGGTATGGAAAATTAGGGCACTTGTTCAGAAGCAGGATGGGAGGCAATCTCTCAGTCCATTATATTATTTGCACTGGCTATTTCATTTTCGAAAAAACTGCTCCCCCTTCTTCTCCCACCCAGCAGACCTCCAAGCAGGTCTTAGCTTGTGTGCCTCGCTTCATGGAGGCTGATGGTGCTTGCTGGCTTGGCTCAGAAATTTAAAGTATTGCACAATAGCAAAAATGTGGAAACAGTCACAGTCAGTGAATGAAAAGTCTGACAGGAACTTGCTAACTGAGGAATTCCACAGAGGTGTCAACTGTTAAAATAAAGGAGACATCCTTCACTTCCACAGGAAGCATTGTTTTGTCTGTGAAATCTCTAATTCTTACAAGAATATCCTTATTAAATGCAGTCCTGCTCCAGTTTTGTAACTTTTTGCTTGCAGTCTTTCAGTTTTTAACTACTATGAGATAACTGAGATCTTATCTGAAAATAATCCATATTTCTTTATTTTATAGTTCAAACACTGAGGTTGAAATTTATTGCATTAAAGCCAGCCAAATCAGCATGAACTCTCTCAAATGTAATGAATTTGGCTACATGGGGGTGTGTGGAAAAGGCTGAGGCCCAACCTCGGAGAGGTTTAGGGGCTACAGGAACTGCAGAGCATCCTACAACACTTTAAATGGCAAGGGAGGCTGCCAAAGCCCAGCTGCTGGAGAGGAGTGGAAATCAGCACCTTCCCAGGAGGCAGATGTGTCCAAGACACACCATGGCCACAGCCAAGCTGTGGAGCAGCACACAGGACAATTCCTGTGCTCAGGAATTCCCACCATAGTGGATCATCAGAGGTCAGAGCACTCTGGCTGCAGAAAGAGGAAAACACCTTTTTTCACTCTTTCAAATCTCAGCCCTTGGGTCAAACACTACAGATTTAGGGGAACTTTGGGGTGAAATGAAGGGGAAAGGCTGCTTTGGAGGAAGGAGACCAGAGGAGGTTCAGTGTGGAATCCCAGATTTTATGCTACAGTGGATTTTGATACAATAAGAAACACTGAGGCCTGATTTGGCCAGGAAGACTAAGGAAATGATTTCTTGAAATCCTCCTGAGCATCTCAGGATTCAGTTTGTTTAACACTCTGAGCTGCTCAGGCTTTTAAAGTGCTATTATTGATTTGGGAATTATTAGCAATGGCAACAGTGATAAATAGTTCTGTGAAACTAGATGAGAGCAAAATACACAAAGCTGTTTAACTCTGTGACAAAATAAAGGTTTTCGCTTCTACAAATCTCTTCTGTTATAAATGGACACAAATAACTAGAAAGAGTTGATTCGTAAGCACCAGCTTACTCTCATAGTTTAGAGAAAATACTCTTACTTTTGCTTCAACAACTTTTAGACTGGGGAAGATTGTGAAGATCCTTGCCCACCTCCTGAATAAAATTCTAAGAACATGGAAGATGCTGAAGAAATGCTGAATTGTGGGATAGGCAAGTGATAATAGCTTGTTTTATGGCTACACAAAGTGATATTTCTCCATAATAAACTTAAGGTAAATGAAAAACTTAAGCTTTTCAAAATTACCAATAGTAGAAACTTCTGATTCATGAGGATTCAGATCTAGAGGGTAATATTTTGGCTAGAAAAAAAGTTGTTTCCACTTCATTCCTAATCTCCTTTCTGTGGAAAAGTATAATTTTGTTGGGGTTCCCTTGGGATAGTGCTATCTATAAACCTTCCAGGAAAAACTGGTAAGCCTGCTCAGGAAAGAAACCATAAGGGTTGGGAAAATGTGACATCCACATTTGGTTTTGTTTTGCAGTTTGTGTACATTTCCTCAAACACTAAAAGACATTACCATCTATATGGTTACATTTTCCAGCAAGTGTTGCCACTAATTTGGACATGTGGCTTTGTATTACGATTTCAACACTGCTCAAAAATACGCAGCCCTTCCTGAAACACAAATAAGGCAATGCCTAACTATCAAAAATGTTCTTTACTTGGCTGTTTACTTGTGTGTAATATATAAAAGCATATATTGAAAAAAGTGGAATTGCTTACCTCAAAAATATAATCTTTTCCATCCTTTCCATGTACAGCTTTAACAGCACAGATGTCCAAACCACCAAATATTTCAGAACAGGTGTCAACCCAAAGCTTGTACCTGTTTCATAAAAATAATTGTTTTCTGTGAGTATCTCATCAGGCTCTTGATTTTCTACAGGCTTACCTAGTAATGTATTCTATATAACATTTGCCCTGTATGAATTTTCCCTGTATTGTCAGTTGTATTTCTCACAGTAGTAGCTTAGAGGTACTGGCCTTATTACTCTGCTTTTCCCAGCAGACTCCCGCAAAGCTGTGGCTCTCTATCCTGACTTAGTGTTATGCTGGATTCTGTCCCAGTTTAGATTGATCCAAATTTTTGTGTTTGCTCTCAGCTGTGAGTAACCTGAAGATAAGCTGTGCTGAAACACAAACACTTTTAGCTCTATCCCACCCTGCATTGCCAAAGCCCTCATGCCAGTACCCCCAGCTGGTTGTGGCTGGGCTGCCACAGAAATTCTCCACAGCAGGAGGATTTATCATCTGACCAGTTTCTGTGGGTTCAGACATGCCAAAGGTTTTGAGAAAGTAGGCTTGTTTTTTCCTGGGAAATTCAAAGTTGTGCCCGGGTTCAAGTGTGATGATCCTCCTGCCTATCGTGCTTGGCAGGGTGCTTAGTTCTGGATGGGTTTTACTCTTGTATCAGGAAAGTGAGTGAGTCTCCATCCCAAATCACAGATCCAACTTGTTCCAAAGAGGCAATGATGGCTTTATACCTACGGCACTGAACATGGCAAAAGAGAAATCAAGCCAGAAAACCCTTAAGATGATGCAAGAGAACCAGATATATGACTTTAAATGTTATATAGCATGCAGACAAGGATAATTCTCTTCATGTAGAGTTATGGGCAACTACAACAAAATTCAACTGGAATTCCAAGAATGTAAAGGAATTCTACAGCTCCTAAAAAAGGTTAGTGTTTCATACAGTACCAAATACAAAAACTCCTCTGTTTCTTTTGCAACATCATGGTAAGAAATAAGGCCCGAGGAATGGACATTTGACCCATTCTACATGCAGGAATATGATTTATTTTTCTTTCTTTCTCTATGAATAGAGAGATTATCCGACCAACAAGGGGGTGAAGTGGGAATTAGTAGTAAAAGAGTGAGGCAATCTGTGTGATCAAGCCCAGAGCTGCAGGTGACATCAGCACAGAACTGTGCTGGGAGCTGCCTGGGGTGACAGAAGCTGTGTGTGCTTGTTCAACGGCAAGGATTGACCCAGGGGACACAGAACAACACTGGGAATGGTCATTAACTGAGAGCAGAGCTAGGTATGGGATCAGTCCGTGATGAAATGACCCTGAAAGGTTATGCAGGCAGATCTCACAGTGACACCAACTGAAGGATATGATTTGCTTAAAAAAGAACCCAACAAAAAGAAGCCATTTATCATGAACTTTCATTGGCCAGCACTGGAGTCTAAACCAGAGCTGTTTCCTCTAACAAACCCTCTCCTGCTCCAGCCCTTGAGCCATGATCATAGATTTGCCACCTCAGGATTTTCCATTGCAAAACCCTGCTGTAATAAACAGCATTTCACTGTAGGATCAAAGGAAACTCATTGCTGGGCTGAGAGTCTTATTCATGTACAAGTATCTTCAGTAACAGCATCCTTTCCAAGTGAACTTATTAGGTCACATTCTTTATATTTTCTTATATCAAATCTGTTCCAGTGGAAAAGTTTTTCTTTCCAGCAGAATACAACGAAATTGATACAACTGTTTGAAAAGATCCTGATGGTAATATCTAAGAAATGAAAATAATTTTTTTTTCCTGGGAGAAACATGGTTTTTGTATAATATGAGAGGTTTTTTTGGATGCCTGACAATTTCAACATTTGTAGATGCACTGACTGGCTGCACAGTTTGCATGCACTTGCTTATAAATAACTTTTTTTTTTGCTGCTAAATACTGTGTATCTTAGAAAGTCATGAGGAAAGCAAAACTTGTCTTTAACAGTAAATATCTGGACTTTATATGAAAACAAAAAGGAAGACATTTTCCTTAAAATACCAAAACATGAATCAGATTTATGAAAGTATTTTTAATAGTCTATCTTCTGCCAACACACACAGAGCTGGAAAAATACAGTTATATTTGGAAAGGGAGGTTTTGGATGGAGTAGCCTGTAGTGTTTTAAACCCGACGTTTTCACAGTAGGTTTGACAAAAACTCACAGTTCTTATTTTCCCAGAGCCAATAATACAGTGTGCAGCAGCCTTGGATAATAAAGGTAATACAGGATTGCTCCAGGCGTCTGACAGAAAATATCAGGTGTGCCAGGTGAGGTGGGCACTGCTGGCACAGCTCTCTGTTCTTCTGGAACTACCCGGGGAGCAGAGCTCCTCAAACAGGGGGGCAGTGAGGAAGTGTAACACTGAAACGTGCTGCTCCTCCACCTCCTCTCTGCCCCTTGCTGGGCCACAATCTTTCTTTTCTAATTTCTAGACTCAGATTTGTATTCAGCCAACGATGTCAATCAGGCAGTGCTTTCAAAGCACTTCTTCCTCATTCATGGCATGCATTATAAATGAAATGTATCAGATCTGATTGCTCTTGCTGTGTGGTGAAACTGCTTCAACTCTTCAGAAAACTTTATTTTTCCCTTCTCTCCCTTGCTGTGCAGTGTGCACTCAGTGGAGTACCCCTTCCTCTTATGAGAAAACACCCATCTTTTCTATGCTTTTGCCTTCATTAGCTTCAAAGTTTTGGTTTGTTGGACTTTGTTTTAATGTGAAAATATCTATTTATTTTATTATATAAATATACTATATATAAATACAAACTCCCAAAATTCACAAAAATTATAAAAAATTAAACTACATATTTAATAGATTAAATATTATTAAATAAATATATTATTATTAAACAGGAAAATACCTATTTATAATCTCTAATTATCTTACATTCAAAAATGGAAGCAGAAGCAAGGCACATGGAGTATTTCCAGCAAGTGCAGGCAAAGGGAGCATTTCCCACTCCTACTGATACTGTTCATTTTCCTCAGGGCAGAACTGCAATGCCTGTGTTTTCACAGAAGAACAGCCCATGGACTGTAATTACACACACACCAGAGCACAGTCTTGCTTTTCCTTCTCAGTGAAAACATAACCTCACTTGCTAGAGGAAGGTGGGTGGGAATGAGAAAGAGAAAATCCTGTGGCTTCAGTCCATGCCCAGAGTGGAGATGAGTGAGGACAGAGTCTAGACAGGGCTTGGACAGCAGGGAGCTGCAATTCCCACCTCACTTGTTTTCAGCTTTCCAGGGCAGGCAATGGTTCAGTTCCTGTGTCTCCCTCAGCTAGTAAGAGGGACAAAGTGGTAGGTTCCAGACTTTAAAAAAATAACAAACAAACCCCCCAAACACCAGAAAAGGATTACTGTTGAACTGTAAGACCTTTTAAATTACACTTTTATTGTACAAACTTTTTTTTTCAGTTAAAACTAGTAGCAGCCTTTGGAGGACCTGAACAACAGAAAATTCATAGCCATCCAAAAGCTTCTCAGATTTATTTTGCAGGGAGAAGAGGTTTAGGTGTTGTGGAGGAACTTGGAGCAAATGGGGACTACAGTAAACCAAAATACAGAGCTGGAACGACGGCATGAGGGAAATAAGCTTCAGTGTATCTCATCAACAGGGGGAAAAGCCTCACAGTGAAGTTTAGTGGAAATTTATAAAATAAAAAAATAGCAATTTAGGATTGAAAGTGGAAAAGAGAAATGTGATTTAAATAGGCAAAGTGAAGACTGTATTGCTTGGTTATAATGAAGGAGGTAGAAAGAGAAAAGTTTAAAACAGTGTGCATAGGGTAAGACTGAAAGGTAAAAGAGACAAAGAAACCAGAAGAAATGAATGACAGATTGAATATAAAATTTTTGAAAGGAATTCCAGTCGTTTTCGAGGTGCAGATATAGATGTAGGAACTGAAGGGTGCACATAAGCACCTGAGGCTGCTGCGTGTGGTGAGTGAACTGTGAGAGGAGCCACATGGAACTCTTGGCTCATCTGCTTTCACCTAATTGGAAGATTTTTTTTTCCCAAAACAAACACAAGACATGCACTTACTGTGAATTGCTTATCAGCACTGGGATTTTTTAAAAATTAATTCAAAATAAAATTCCATTAATTTTTTTTAATTACCTTTTACATGAGACTCGACTTACTTATCTGACATAGCAATTTGTTCCAACATTGCAGAGCCCGTGTTTGTCTTCCAGTTTCCAGATATGGAAGTTCTCCTGAAAGGGGGAAAATATTACAAAGAGAGCCAGTGGTTTCATACTTTCACTGTCCATTAAATTACTCTGTTTTTCACATGAACACAGCAGCAGTATTTACACCTTTTTCATACCTGGCATGTTGTAACAGAACATCTAAACCACGAGGAATTCTAAGAGACATTGCCATTGTCAGTAATACTTGGTTGGAGGCATGTTACAAAGTGTGACAGTGCTGTGAAATTTCTGCTCCCCGTTTATTCATATAAGACTTTTTAAAAAAACCCAACCTACTCTGATTGACAGTGTTAGCAAAGAGCTGGGATGGGTTGTAGAGGGACTGGTGGCCTGGAACATTCTGTTACTGCAAATGTAAATGTCCAGAAGCTTCAGCTTGTGGTTCCAAACCCATTACACTGCAGAGTTAGGTCCCAATACTTAAAAAGCAAGATATCTGTAGGGTTTCTAACATCTCTGAAGTGATTTCAGAGCTGTTTTGGAGCTGGATTTTGGGTTCTCCTCCACTTTTCACTCTTTGCTATCTACTAATATAATTTCAAAAATTCTATGTCAGGACCTGAGTACACCACCTCCTGTTTAATCTCTAAGAAAAAAAATCCATGTAAAGTTTTTTTTCTCCTCAGACCTTGGGATTGCTACCAGGGCTGAGAAGATGAATGTTTTCTGAAACCTAAATGCTGTACTGGGAAAAGGCTAAGGATACAAGTTATGAAGTGTTTCCAGTCAGTAAAATCGTAGGAACATCTGTAATGTATTAAAAGTATATTAGGCAGCAGCTATAGTTTTCTCTCCATTTTTCCATTAACATAATTATGAGGGTCAGTAGCAATTGTGGGGGAATATTGACTTTTCTTTGGGAGTCTCATAAAGATTTTAAAGCGCATGATGTCATGTTCTTTGTTGATGTGGGAGAAACTAGTGAGAGGGGAACGTGCATGTAATAAGCCCAGTAATAAGACTGTGTTGTGATTTCTGCTTCATTTTTTAAAGTGATATTTATATATATGTGTCTACTTGCAAATTAACAATTTTAGGTTCATTACTACTCTACACACACATTCTGGATCAGAGAGATAACACTCCTCACAAATCACAATCCAACTCTATTGCAGACTTCTCACAAGCATGGACTGTGCCTGGACTATTTTAGGTGGCTTTTAGGAAGCAAGATGTGACCAAATCAGGAAAAAACATCCTGAGGACTTTTAGCAAGTATTTAGTTCAAGATCCTCAGCTGCAGTGATGTAACCTCAGCCCTACTGACTAGAGAAGCAAAGATGATTTGCTTTTAGCCCTCTTTCACTGCCCAACGCCAAAGGCTCCCTGTTGAACCTGAAGAAATCTCACAACTGATGCTCAGCAGGCTCTAAGGACGCTGCAGGGACCAGATGAGGAAGGACAGACCTAACTGGAGGAATCTCAGCAGCTTGTGGGCTTGACACAGAAGCCCTTCAGGACCAGAGGGGTTCCATCAGACCATGGTTAACTGATACAGAACTATCTAACCAGACCATCTGGCACTCTAAACCCTAGATATGATTTCTGTAATTAACATATGAATTCCTCTACTGAAATAGGAAGGTTTCCCACCCTTCTTCACTTTTGAGAATTGCTAAGAGTCTTTCACATCGTTATTTCCCCCTCTGTTACTAAATACTGAAAAATAAATAAAACAACTCCCACACTTTTGAGTGCTTTACACTTAGGCTTAACATGTTTACACTGGATTTGGTCTTTGCAAGAAGGAAGAACTGTTTTAGAATTGCTAAACAATTCATAGTAACTTGAGCTTCCCCTTTTCCAACACCTTCCTGTTTTATTTAGTAGCATTTACAGTACCCAATCCAAATTGCTGGGACAGGGACTGGTCATCAGAAAAATATGTAGAAACGTCTGCCTACTATCCTTATGTAGGCAGCCTGCTCTGTGGTTTGATCCTCTAGCACTATTTCTTTGGTTGATGTGCTTTACTTTTGGTTTATTGACCTTTTGATCAAAGTACTTTAAGCTCCGGGTTCAGAGCACTGCTTTTGGAAGGAGGATTTAGATACAGGGCTTTTGTATTTCTGGTTTTGTACATTGTGTGTGACCCTTTTAAACTCTATTTCCTTGAAGTCAGCTGAATTCTGTCCGGGTACCCAGGGCAGTTAAGTATGTGTCACAAAGGGTCCAAGGAGCTGTGGTATTTACAGGGATCCAATGCTGCATTTTGGCCATAATCTCCACTGACAGACAATAAGCACCAGTGTTTGGTGAGTCATGGATCCACTTAAACCACAATTTCCCACAGAATTATAAAACTGAAGCTCTTAATAACTCTCTTTAAAGTACAAAAACAAATGTTCAGCTGGTATTTTTTTGTGGTGATTCTCTAAGTGCTCTGTTCCTGTGTCACAGAACAAAATGAAAACCAGCTGTAAAACAATATTCTACTGACATCATGGATATGTATGCACATGAATAATTTTTCAGACATTTGGTAAATCTTCTCCTTTCCATGATGCTTTGGAACAATGGATCAGTATTTCATTTTTGTGTGATTAAGCTGTATGAAAGAATCTAGAGAAAAAATGATCACTAGGCTTTTAGCATTTGGATGAACCCATAGTTTCTGAGTAGAAACTTAAAAATAAAGAAAAGGTAGGAGGAACAGGCTGTCATTTCAACTTATTTTTGCTGTCCCTTAGGTCAACTGCTTCTTCTGTGAAAAAGAAACATTTATGTTTCAAAATGATAAATTTACCATGGCTGACTCTTCCAAAATTATTCTAGACACTGAATAGCATTTAAATTTCAAGTCAAAGGAAAAAAAAGAGGAGCTCTCTCCTACAAAATGTTGTGGTCCAATTTCTACCATAAGGGATGAGCAAACATTACTAATATTGCATCTGGCTGCTGGTATGTGGTGATGTATCAGAGCCAGTAAGAGCTGGGCCTTATTCCTAAGACTCTGCCCTTGGGAGCTGTAAGAGTGGGAAAAATCAGCTTAATTTATTATAAAAAAGAGCAGAGGGGAGAGATGGGCAGCCCAACACAAGGAATCTGTCTGTCAAAGCACCAACAAGAGAGAAAATACCATCCAGCCTTGCAGAGGCAGAAATAGTTTAATGAAAAGTTCTGTGATGGAGAAGGAAGGTTGGCTGGGACTGGGAGTAGGGTGAGGGCAAGGCTGGTGAATGGTACTGAGGAGAATCCAAGGGGTGAGAGAGAGCCTAGAGCAACAAAACAGGTTAGGAATAAGAGGTAAGGACTAAAGAGGCAGGAGGGTCTGGGCAAGCAGTGGGACTGGATCAAGATATGGCTTGGACAGGTGAGAGAGGTGACCTTGGGGTGTAGGAGCACTGTGCTATTAGGAAAAGTAGGGTGGGTGTCCTCAGAGAGGGGGTAAAGCCAGAAAAAGTCAACAGTCTGGAGTACCAATGTAAAGACAAACAAGCAGAATTAGAATTAACTTTCCTGGAGCAGCTGGGGATTAAATGCTGCATAATTCAGAAGGATTTTTTAAGATTCTTGTTGCCTTTAGGGAGAGGTGCAGAATGCCCAACACACCAGAATTCTGTAGGGAGCATGTTACAGTTCTGCATCACTGACAACACTGAAAATCACCAGCAAAGGATTTCAGAAACCTTTCAATCCTCACGAGCTTTTTGGGTGTTCTGCCTTGGTCACTGTGCCCAACTCAGATTTCCAACACACTGTTTCTGCAAAATTTAGATAACTCTGGGTTCAAAACAAATCAGAAAGAGTGAGTGTCCACACTGCTGGGTGGGTCTGACCTATGGGAACAGTATTTCCACCCAGGGCTGGGCTGGGCTTTCTTGGGGCCCCTCAGATGTATCGTGAGTGCCAGATGAACCATTGAGCTGTTCTGGAAAGGTCTAACCTTTGGTGCACTCTCTCAAGTGCCTGGTCAGTCACAGGTCAGGGGAGACCAGCAGTTACTCAGTTTTGATTCTCTGACAGTCGTGTGTCTTAGTGGAGAAGTCAAGAGTGTGTGACCTTCTGATAGCAACCTAAGGAGATATATTTTTACACACTGGGCAAAAGGTTCTACTTTCTCATAGAACTTGTTGGCTGTTCCTAAGTTACTTGGCACTTAATGTCAACCCATTTAAATTATAAAACATTGAAATTATAAAACATTTTATGCATTTGCTCCAACTTTTCCTGCTCTTGGGATTTATGCTTTGCTTGAAGTTCAAATGTTTCTACCTGACTGATAAAGAACCTTACAAATGTCGACATACAAGAAATCTCTGATTCCTCCAATGTTCACTAGTTCCTCCAGAAATATCTCTGTGTGTGTACATGGGTGTGCATATGTAAACGTGTATGTGTATTTTTACCTGTATTCTGATATATTTTTCCTGCCTCAGAATCACAAGCATGAGGGAACTAAGCCATGAGATGATCTAACTTGTCTTAAAACCAGGAACAAAATCAGTGTACATCAGATTACATTGCTTGATAATTAAAAATTGATAAGTAAAAATATGTATAAACACAGTTACCATAGCTCAATGGCTACACGACAACCTGTTTTGCTGCTCCAGCTTAATGTTGTCTGTGAATCTGAAACATCCTCTCATATAGTCATGACCTTTAAACAAACACCTGGATTCTAAAATTAGAAAAGATTTTCCTCCCTCTATGTGAAGGTCACTGCAAGATTGGAATTGTTTTTACATGTGTTATGTTAAAAAGAAAGGGCTTTGTTCCATGAAAGTGTGACAATTCAGATTTGTGTGAATGAATGACACCCAGCTATCCCTAGAGGGAGAAGAAAATTTGATCCTAAGTTGGAAAGATACAAAGGAATCTTTTTTAACAAGTTCCCTACAAAAACAAATCCCCTTCCAACTGTTTCTTTCTTTAAATGAAAATAATAAGCACAGGTTAGCAGAAAACCGACTCTGGCAGGCTCACATGCTGTCTTATTCTCCTCCTCCCAATCACAATCAACTTAAAAAATAGTCTTGATAGATCTAAAAAGTCTGAAACACTCTTTCCAGAGAGTATGACAATGGAGGCATGGAGTCACCACATCAGCTCAGAGATTCATCCAACATCATCTTATTGGTGCGTATCAATTTTGAAACAAAGGAGGAAAGAATATAAGGTTTTGGCTCACATGTATGCTTTGTAGTTACTGCCTATCTTTTGGATCCTGATGTCATATTTGGAGTCTATGAAGGGCTCAGTGGTGGCGTAGGTCTGAGTAAGTGCTACCACGCTGGCTATGTCCTGAAAATCGTAGTGGTTGTCTACCTTGATCTGCAGTCATCATGTCACAAGACAACAGCATATACAAAAGAAAAAAGAGTAATTAGGAATAAAATGTAAAATTTCAGTTGCAAATGGCATTCATGAGAAGTATGTTTTCTGACAGCATGAGTTTATTAAAAAAAGTATAGGATATTTTATCTGATTTCTAGATTCTATAACATTTTTGCATTAAAGTTTCTGTTTTTCTAAGCAAAATATTACCTGTTCATCTATGGAAAGAAAGTTGCGGATAGTGGAATTTCATTTTGCCTTAATTTTTTTTTAAATGGTGGTTGTCAAATATACATCTGCAAGCGTTGGTGTGATATGCAACCCTAATTTATATAGAGTTCTTGCTGCTTCTGTAAATTGCTCACGTAACTAAATGTATCTGAAGCCCATCATGAAGCTTCTCCCATGAAGGAGGAGCTGAAGGGTCACGATATCCTGATGAGTGCACATTCACAGGAAGCACAGAGGGTCGGCTCAAATCAGCAGAATCATTATTCTCATTTTTCTCACTTCTCTGCAAGGATTTGGGCTTTGTAGGAGTAAAATTTCCTAGTTGTGGAACACTCTGCTAAGGTGGTTCTAAATGGTACTAAGCCATCAACTTCAACATCTTGAAATAAGAAGGAGGTGGAAAAGTGGGGAATATTGATCTAGAGGGAAAGAGAGGAGACTTTAGTGGACAGAGGGAGTCCGGAGACATCACTTTTGTCCAAGGGAGGGCATATCTCTGTGGGTGACTCAAAGCTGGCTGAAATGGGGAGTAAAAGTGACTCGGAAGAGAAACCTTAGGGCTGGTAGAAAATGGGAGAGGGAAAGTGGATCTCCACCATACTGCTCCAAAGGACATGTCAGAATGGTGAGGAAAGGAGGCAGGGATTAGTATTTCTCATGGTATCTAATATGAGGAGAGTTTGTAACTCTTTGCAAGCCCAGTGTCTTGTTTGCTTTTCCTGTCACCTGGTACTTAAGGGGAACCTGAGGGCCCTCAGGGAGGTGGGACTTGCATGTCAAACAGCATTTAAAAGTCCAAAGTCTAACTATTCACTCCCAGCTCTTGGATGGAGAAGGATACAGAGTAATTTGCCATTTGAGAGCCACAAAACTAGACACAAAGCCTGCTTTCAACTTGATTTTCTGAAAACTTACTGGCCTGTAAAAGTGTAATTGGGACCACTGGAAACACTCGTGCTGGCAGTGCCCTCAGGGAGGCCTGGGGTATGAGGAGAACCTTCCTTTCCACTCTCACTAAGCAGTTAACAACAAAAGGCTGGCATTTAATCTCTAAGGGTTTAAAAAAAACCCCTAGATTTATTTCTAGACATTTGACATGCTGAACATTTCTGTCCATTATTTTTCTTTTTCTATAAATGAGAGGTGAATACTGAAATAAGGCATAAACATTCTAACACTTCACATATGCAATCCACAGAATCTGCAGTTTAATTAGTGGTTAATTCTGCTCTCAATTAAATTGGCTGATGGATTTCCACTGACTTACTAACTATGAAATAAAGCAAAACAGTGATAGACGAAAGAAGATAACATACAGTATAACTTGTAATAAAATCAGTTTTCTATTTCTATTACTAGTGGCAAACATTATGTTCATGGAGCTTTTGAAGATTCAAGATGATAAATGTAACTATTCTCTGATGATTTGTTTTAAAATCTAAAACACTTAAAGCATTGAAATGTTTTCAGTGAGTGAAGTTACCTATGACTAGAAATTGGCACTGATAGCCGTGAAATCGGGATTGGAATCATATCCCATCGACCCAGCACTGTGAGATAAGTGATACCAAAACAACTGTACTCACCACTGAAATGCAATTACTTTGGAGAAAGAAAGCAGCCGTTATATAGTGGTATGAAACAATCACAGAGAATATATTAATAAAAGTTCAGTATCAAGCTGAAACTAATAAAGAACCAAGGCAAAACCTTCCCATATTCCCAGGTTCAAAAAGCTGGATTGTGCAACAGACCTTGACTCTTAAAGAGTTTCAGTGCAATCAACCAAATTAATAAACAAGGTTTTGCTTCGAGAAAGCATCTCAGCATATTTCAAAGAGTGTCCTGGGCAGGGCAATGCATAAACTGCAAAGGCCTCAATGTGAAAAAATATTGCGCATGTTTCTATTTTCCTGAAGAGAGATGCTTTCTTGAACGACAGACAAGCAGAGATTTGCAAGGGTAGGGATCTGAGGCAGAATCTGGACAGTTGAAAGGTAAAATATCCAGGAAAGGAATGAACATGCACAGTATTGTAGACAAACACCCAGGCTCCTGACATGCAATAAGTAGCATCTGCACCTTTCCCATGCCTGAATGAGCATGTCCAATCTTCACAACAACAGGAAAGGTTGGCATTGTTAGCTGAGGGGGGAAACAAAACAGACAGGTTAGAGATAGCAACCAGCAGCTAAAGGATTAAGCAACATCATTTAGGGAAATTATTTAAGTATAACAACAATGAGGCCAAAGCTGCTCTTGCCATGTAGTTACTCAATCTGTTAATCATCTGTGTAATACTGTGCTTTGATGACTTACTGTGTGTGCTTTCTGAGCTCTGTGTTATTCCCAAGACAGCTAATTGGTGTATTTCTCTTTTCTATGTCTGTCCTTTGACTTCACTTTTTAACTGAATTTCTGCTGTTTCCTATTTTATGTTTCCCTGCTTGTGTTTTTTGACCCATAAACTCACACTCCTCAAGGTTATAATCATTAACAATGTCAAATTAGCCACCTTTTCACCTTGATTTCCATTATTTAGCATGGCTATAGATACATTTTGTGACCACTTATGAAAGCAGTGATGTTTAATTCACCACGAAGCTTGCTTTAAAGGCATATCCCACTTCTGATACAGAACATCCAAGTTTTCTAGGAAAGCTCCAGCATAGAATGCAAGGAATAATTCAGCTATTGGGTAGAAAATCAAATATAAAAAAGCATATGGAAACACTTTATTCAATGTAATGGCAGTGGTTCTGTCTCTCAGAGAGATCTGTGAATGGCTAGTTTTACTTCCATCATTCATTCGAAGTTTTAGATCTCCCAGTCATGAGCACAGCTGGCACTTCTTTTTCTTCCACCTAAAATGCACATATATTGAACATCTCTCAACCAAGCACAAACACACAGACTTAGTAGAAGAGGATTGTAACTAGAAATAAAAAACTGAACACCTGCAACATGTAATAAAACTGGGAAGCAGTAGGACGGTGTTATGGGCTCCAAAACCTTAATTTAGAACCACATTTCAACGCAATAAATACAATCAAAGGCAAAGCTGACGCTTTAGAAAATGAACTCAGAATTACGAGAGGTTTTATGAGATGTCAGTTTTCCAAATACTTAAAAAGGATTGGCAAGAGATTAAATGGAGTTCACATTTATCTCACTGTGCACAACATTGCACACAAAGACACAATTTATATGGAAAACATCATGGGACAGTAAATGACACTGAAATCAAGAATAGGAAGGTCATTTGGTGTTTGGTAATGCCTGAACCTATTTGCAGGTTATAAAGCTGGTTACAATACACACACACTTTTCCTATATTTTAAACATTTATTTTCAATATGATTTAAAGATGCCTGCTTTAAAAATACTGGAACTGCACGAGAACAAGTGGGCATTCACTGCAAGGAACATATTCCACACTACGTACCCTCACATTCCCAGTACAAGACATGAATCTCTTTCTTTTATTATATTTTTTTAATGAACTTTCTCTGATCTTTCTAAAATGCATACTGATGCAATATTATATATAAATATATATATAAAGGACATCTAATCAAATCAAACGAAGTTCTTTGGTTTTTGACAGAATCTCAGTTTCTGCTCTGACTCATCAAAAGAAACAGAAGGAATATTTGGATCTACCCTTTTAACACACCAGAGTTTTCAAAGCCTGATGAAACTACAGGGTCCCACAGTTGGCAGCTACACAACACAGGCTGGGGAGGTTTCTCACTGATTTCTGCATCAAACCCAAAACTAGGGCTAGTGTGTCTTTGGAGGAGAAAATCAGATTTGATTTAAAGATGTGCAGTTTTCCTGGTTAATTTATTCCATAAGTTAAGATCTCATATATGTAACTTCTTCCAGGGCACCCTTGAGCTTTGAAATCCAGGATCACAGGCAAGCAGAGCATTCTCAAACCATCTCTTAGTTGTTTATATTACATGTGTAACTGCAGCTGCCACATTTCTGTGCCTGTGTAAAGGGAACTTGTATTTTCTTGGAGAAATTCTGGATATTTTGGTTAACATTGCAGGAATTGATAACTGAAAACTCTGAACACCCTTTATTTAACTCTTGTTTATGCACCACTTCAAGCCCTGGTCTTTAAATCCAAAATACATTCAATTGCTTTTTAAAGTTCTGTTTCAATATAACCAATTTAAGTTAAGGCACATAAGCATGAAAACAATAGGTTACTTTCAGAATAGCCATAAGCATTTGCAAAAGCATTATACAGTAAAGGTCACCTATACAGCAATTTAAGAAGAAAGTCCTTGCTAAACTGTAGGAACACAAAGTCCTGCACAGTCAACATCTAGTCACTTGTGGATTGCTTTCAGATTTTAAAGCTAGGCAGTTTTTTTTTAATTTTGGGGGATAAGATTGGTAACAAATCATTGCCTGACTCCAGAGTCATAAGGACAGGACCACATTTCTATGACTGAACTACAAACCACTGAACTGGGGTTTGTAATGGAAATGCTCTAACTATAGAAATACAAATGGCACTTCTGTAATTAAGAGGACCACATATCTTCCTATGATCCCAAAGCTGTGGAACCCTCTGTGGGCCACAAGAACAAACACCAACTCAATTTTTTTTTTTAAAAAAGGAAAAGTAACTGTGCTTTCTACCTTGCAAAATGCACTAACATCATTTCCCTCTGGAGCCTGATCCCAAGATTCCATGTGGGACACCACATCCCAGCACAGTCTGAGGGAAGAGGTGGCAGATGGGAAAAAGAGTTGAATGATGTGTTTCAAACTTCAAACCAAAAAAAGACAACTAGCATAGAAGGCAGACAAAATTAAGTCATCCCAGCACTTCTCTTGTTTTTATCAATCCCTGTGACAGGCTCATGAACCCAGGGCTGATGAAGTTGTAGTTATTTCTATCTATCTATCTATCTATCTATCTATCTATCTATCTATCTATCTATCCATCTATCTATCTATCTACCTATTATATATGATAAAAGTGTGATAGTGACGGTGAAAACTTACTGGTTCCATGATTTTCCCTTTAATTTACAGTATAATTACTTGATAAGGAGGCACCTTGAAAGAAGATCTATCAATGGATCCACTTTCAACAGAGTGGATACTAATAGGACTCACTGTGTGTTTGCTTTGAAATGTGTCATTGAGGGGCAAAGGCCATTTTACAAAAAAATTCTACAGTGGCAATTAAAAACTGAGGGAAAAAAACCCGAAGACCAACAAGAAATCTGGTAAGTTCATAAATATGAGAGATGGAAATGTCTACACTGCATGAAACATTGCACATACATACAATATACACAGAATATGGCAGAATTAAAAAAATAGGATAAATGGCACTTCTAACTTAAATAGTAATGTAATAAACCATCATTATTAATTAGACATAAAACAGAATACTTGGCAAATATAGAATAAAATTTTCTGTAGATAGATATGAATATGATAGGATTGGTAATAAATGTTGATAGCAACAGGAAAAATTGTTATGTAGGAACACATATACAAGCAGTTGAGGTATATACTGATATTTGCTAATACAATGTCATTAATCAAAATAACACCACTGAGTATTCAAATGTTTTATCAGCTCAAAAATTGCAAAGATGGGTTCAGTCTACACACTTGCATTTATCTGGTTTTAAGTTCTCATATTGTTATTTTATGTAAATGTGATGTCTCATTTCAACAGAACATTGACTTAGGATAAGTTGCATGGCTCACTCCTATGATTAGAACTAAGTAGTACTGCTTGAAGACACATTGCCAAGGAGAGCAAACAGCAGATAAAAGGCAGTAATGAAAAATGTTTTGAAGAGGAATCCTTTTAAAATCTGGATAACAGAAGTCAATTCTTCCCTTTTAACCTCATAAGTATTTAGCATGGAAGTGGCTTTACTGAACTGACATATTTCATTGATTTCTGTCATGTACTAATAGCATGAATAAAAGTTCGTAGTTAATGACTGGACAAATCTAATGGTTGTTACACCTTCCAGCTGAGGGTTTGCTCACAGGTGACATGAGTTGCATTGAGTGTAGCAGCAATGTTTTAACACCACTTGGCAGGCCAGGCACTTCCCTAAGTGTTAGAAGTCTAATGCTCTCAAGCTTAACTGCATTGTGGGAGGGTTTAAGGACACAGGAGAATTAGGGATTAAATATTAGAAGTGATTAAACCTGTAATGGAAATACAACAGAATATATGGGTTTAAAAAGTGATAATAATATCTGTAATATCCTGTCTGAAAAATCACCATGTTTTTAATAACGTCTATCTTTTTTCTCTCCAAATGACTATCTATTAGTGTTTTTCATTTAGGAGCTCATTTGCTTGCAGCTTAATTCTTTACTATCACTTTATTTTACATAACTATCATTTATTTTATCATTTTCAAGGCAGTCCAGCTGAAAATAAATCTTTTCATGGCATTGCATGAATGTCCCTGAAATGGATTCTGTGGTGGGCCTGACACATTTTTTCAGATGAACACCTTTGAAGTTAATTGTTGTAGTCGTTGCAGGAGCAATTTTTCTCAAACAAATGGATTTGGGGTTTTGGCTGTGTCCTTGCAACGGGAATACAGCAGCTGGGAACTGACACAGAGAGGAGCTGCACTGGCAGAGCTTCTAAACACCCTGAGATCTGGACTCCACAATCTCCATGGGGAAGCTGGAGGCCCACATCCAAGACTCATCCTTTCAAACCACCTCCGGCAGCAACTGCAATATTCTTTAATTCTTTTAAATTGCTGAAAACAAGACAGACAGCAGCCCCTCAACAGGCCTCACAGTTGTTGGTTGACCACTCATTTTTCACTGGATCTACTCATATTAGTTTGATAAGAGCAAAGACAGTACTGGGACTCAGGATATTCATTATTTCTCCAATTTTCCATTTGCTCTTTTTTGTTTCCCATACAGGGAACCTACAAAGTAATTACAGCTGCAATTAAGCTATTTAGATTTACAGACAAGGAACTACCTGAAACAGGAGTTCTACTGATGAAATGACAGGGAGGATTTGACCCAATATTCTGAAGCTGCTGCATAAACCTGAATTAAGGCAAGTGTGCATTCCCAGCCAAGTGTTCTGACACAGATCACAGAAGCATGTTCCT